GGGAAGGGACGGGGTAGAATGGGTCATTGGGGAGAAAAAGGGACATCCGTAATACTTTAAACAAAAATAAGATTTTAAAAAAATAAAATAAAAAATTAGCTATGAAAAAAGCTCCTAGATGTACTGAATTTTGAGTCCCACCTGTGGTTGCCTTGGCAGGGCCAGACCAAATGATATGGCCCGAGGGCCAGATGTTACCACCTGTGCTATAAAGACATTGATGAAAGAAATGGAAGACATAAGTAACTGGAAAGGTATTCCATGCTCATGGATTGGGAGATCAATACCGTTAAAATGTCCATACTACCCAAAGCAATCTACAGATTCAATGAAATCCCTGTCAAAATTCCAAAGGCATGTTTCACAGGAGGAAAACAAAACAATCTTAAAATTACATGGATAGCAAATAAATAGCAAATGCAATCTTGAGAAAGAACAAAGCTGGAGACATCACACTTCCTGATTTCAAACTCTATCACTAAGCTATAGTAGTCAAAACAGTACGGTACTGACATAAAACAACATAGCTCAATGGAACAGAATACAGAGCTCCAAAATAAACCCATGCGTATATAATCAGTTAATTTACAACAAAGGAGCCAAGAATACCAGATGGGGAAAGGACAGTCTCTTCAATAAATGATGCTGGGAAAACGACAGCCACATGCAAAAGAATAAAAGTAGACCATCTCACACCGTAAATAAAAACCAACTCAAAATGGATTCAAGACAAACGTAAGATCTGAACCATAAAATTCCTGAAAGAAAACAAAAGTGGTAAGTTCTTCGACACAGGTCTCGGCTATAATTTTTTTTGGATTTGGCACCAAAAATTAAAGATAACAAAAGCAAAAATAAACAACTGGGACTATAACAAACTAAAAAACTTCACAGTAAATAAAACAAGAAAATGAAAAGGAAACCTACTAAATGGGAGTACATATTTGCAAATCATGTATCTAATAAGGGGTTACATCCAAAATATATGAAGAACTCATGCAATTCAATAGCAAAAAACCCCCAAACAATCCTATTTAAAAATGGTCAGAGATTCAAACGAGACATTTTTCCAAAGAAGACAAGTAGATGGCCACCAGGTAGGTGAAAAATGTTTAACGTCACTAATCAGGGAAATGCAAAACAAAACTACAATAAAATACCACCTCATACCTGTTAGAATGGCTTTTATAAAAAAACAAAAAAACACACACACAAGAAATAACAAGTGCTGGTGAGGGTGTGGAGAAAAGGGAACCCTGTGCATTGTTGGGGGGAATGTAAATTGGTGCAGCCACTATGAAGGTTCCTCAAAAAACTAAAGAACTATGTGATCCAGCAATTCCACTTCTAGGAGTATTTAGCGGAAGGAAACAAAAACATTAATTCAAAAAGATAGATGCACCCCATGTTCACTGCAGCGTTATTTACAACAGCCAAAAAACATGGAAACAAATTCAGTGTCCACAGATGGGGGAATAGGTAAAGAAGATGCGTGTATATACGCACAATGGAATATTATTCAGCCATAAAAAAGGAAACCTTGCCATCTGCAACAACATGGATGGACCTTGAGGGCATTATGCTAAATGAAATAAATCAGACCGTGAAAGACAAATACCATATGATCTCACTTATATGTGGCATATAAAAAACAACCCAAACTCATAGATACAAAGAACAGATTAGTGGTTGCCAGAGGTAGCTGGGGGATGGGGGTGGTGTTGGTGAAAGGGGTCAAAAGGGAGAAACATGGAGTTATGAGTCCTGGGGAACTAAAGTACAGCATGGTTACTATAGTTAATAATACTGTACTGTATATTTGAAAGTTGCTAAAAGTAAATCTTTAAAAGTTCTCACAAGGAAAAAAAATTTTGTAACTGGTGATGGACGTTAACTGGGTTTATTGTGACCATTTTGCGACACGTACATATATCCAAACATTTTGTATACCTTAAGCTTTGTATATCTTTGATTCACATAATTTATATCAAAAATAATTTTAAAATAAAATAAAAAATAAAGCAAACAGATTACCTTGTGCTATTTTCCAGAACTGATCTAGTGATAAATCCTATCCACATGGCATCTTTCTTTCCCAAGATCCACTCTATGACACCTGGAAGAGATCAAGCACAGTGTCACAGGACCTGGGAGAGGTGAGAGTATTGACCAGAATGCACCGTCCAGCTCTCCTCTGAAAACATCTACGAAATTTCCCTTTCATTTAACAACGGCCTACTCACCCATGTAACCGCCATTTGTGCTGAAACGCTCATTCAGCGTAAGACTAAACAGCCCCTGAGAGAGAGACAGAGGAGTGAAGTGAGAAACACAGACCATCCTGTTCGAGGCCCTCGCTGTACTTCACATGGTACATGGAGGCCTGGACGGGGTCATGGGGCAGGCCAAGGTCAATCCAAACCACGCTAATACCACCTCCTATTACCAGAGCTTTTTCGGAAGTTCAAAGAATTTCCACACCTAGTGTGCAAGATAAGTAGGTAGGATATTTTTGGCCTCACTTTTCTAAAACGCTGCAGGGCAGAGAACTAATGCCGAAGGTGCCGAGAGGCACACCTGGGACCAAGTTCCAGCCTGATGTTCCCAGCCCTCGGCACCCAGCCGCATGCTTTACCCCAGGACGGGCTCGGAAACCTTCATGCCTTCGGCCCTGCCCTACCCTGCGAGCTCGCAGCTACGGGGGGCAGAAGTGCAAAGGGAAGAGGGGCTTCGGACACTTTAGGTCCCCATTTCCTTAGGCTCCAGCCTCCACGAGTGACAGCGGACGGGCGCTACCTGGCCGGCCCTGTAACGGGAGAGTCCTTACTGGTTTGAAGCCCGTTAACATGCCCACGTAGCCCGCAAAGCTCGCAGCCTGGAAGACAGTTTTATTGTTTCTTTTGAAGTCCAAATTCACTGTCAAAGGTTTCAGCTCCTCGGTTACGACCCAGGAGTTGTTATTTATGTTCCACCTACAAGAGAGAAATGTAGTGACATGTAAGAACAATGATGATGATGACGCCAGGCGTTACACTAGGTACTCGAATCCTTACCGACCAATCCTAACGGGAATTTTGCGTCAGAAGGGAGGGGGTTCGGGGGACAGGGTGAAAAAGCTGAAGAAGGGATTAGGCAAAAAAAAACCACAACTCACAGACACAGACAGGAGTGTGGTGCCTGCCGGAGGGAAGGGGGGTCGGGGGCGGGCCGAAGAGGGTGAAGGGGGGATAAACGGCGATGGAAGGAGACCTGACTTGGGGTGGCGCCCACACAGGCAGTGCACAGACGATGCATCACAGAACCGTACGCCTGAAACCTACCTACTTCTGTTAGCCAATGTCACCCCAATAAATTCAATAGGAAAACGGGACTTTGCAGTATGGGTGGTCTTATCCCCACTGGCCACACGACAAGACAGGCTCAAAAGTTAAGTACTTCTCCCAGCATGACAGCCGATAAATAGCAACCTCCAGGTTCAAACTTAGGTCTCTAGTTACAAAGCCCTGTTACATTTTTTTTCAGAAAGTCAAGAAGCCGTGAAAGAGAACGCTGTTCTTCCTTCTAAGCAGTGCACTGGACACGCGTCGGGGGCCTTCTAGCACGCTCCAGGTTTCCGTTCACTCACTGACGGATCGCAAATAACAGCCGGAGTGTGCCCGTCTGGTCTCACAACTAAGAAGTCCGCTCTTCACTTCCGGGCACACTTTGGGTGTGACTTGGGGCTTTTCATCAACAATCTACTCTTCCTAAGGACCGACACACACCATTTTCTTTACTTACCCAAGAAATATTCCAAAATCCATGTTTCGCCCATGCATTAAATGGCCTAATTGAAAGTAAGCAAAAGAGACATGTAGGAGCAGTTATGATAGTACGACTGACCTTAAATCAAAGCTGGACGCCTAATTTTGGCTAATTGATATTCACAACTGTTAAATCCAACAATAAGCATTAAGCAGCATCCTGATGCCGTTAAGTCTTAAGATCAAACCGTTGTCCCTGTCACGTCAGCCAGATCCCCCCAAACCCCCAAGAACACAGGGTTCCAGGTAAGAAAAGAATATGAGGAAAGGGTCAGTGGTCATTCTCCGGTCCACTCTGACACGGTCCTACCCGGACACAGCTATTTTAGCCTCACTAATGTGACTCGCAAACATGCTTCGGGCATTGTCACCTACAGCTGGACACCTCAAGGGTTATACCAAAGTACGGGTGAAAAAGAGCGAATCAGGGTAAATCGCCCTGTGCCTTGTACTCTGGGGTCTCCCAGGAACAACACGGGAAAAGTGAGGGCGGTCTTCACGGGGTCCCTTGGCTGAGAAACGAGGGAGACGTGTCCTGGGCTTCGAGGGAAGGCTGGGCCCATTATGCGTATGAAGCTAATGAAGCAGCCCGTGAGCACTTATGTCCAGTCACGAAGAGGGTCCGAGCGACGGAGGGCGGGCCAGCGCGTTCACAGTCCCGAAACCCCTCCCGGGTGTTTCGCAGCCCCGAATTAAACTCCGGTAGGCATTACAGTGGTCTTAAAGTACGGATACGTTTCAATTCACTTTTAAAAAATTTACCTTTAAAAAATTTACCAAGATCCATACACTGTATGCAACATACACGGAATGTGCACAGCAAGCCCGGATTTTACAAGTTCCAATTCCATTCACTTGGAAGGTCTCCTTTCCCCTGTACTCTGCAGCGCCCACCTCCCTCAGCACACTCACCTTTCTTGTCCTCTGCTATTATTGAAGTACAAATGGTAAAAAATTCATAGAAAATGTTGAATGAAATAATCTCTCCTATGAGAAAAGATGGGAATTTTTTTGGTTAATAAACAGAGCCATGACATTATCAGAAAATTCTTTTTTAAGAAAGGGTTCAGCTGTCATCACTGTGTGAGTTTTTGCTTTGGCATGTACAAGAATGTTCGTAACTGTTTGTTCTTAACCAACCCAAATCTGCGAACGACCCAAATATCCTATTCATGCAAAAAGTGCAAGAAACCAGGCACAGCAGTTCGTACTGTTTGGTTCTATTTATAAGCAGTTCCAGGGGCAAAACCAATCGAGGGTGAAGGCAGAAGAGCTGTGGCCTGGGGACGCGGTATTGTCTATTGTGCAGGAGGGGGTGTGACGGGGCATTCTGGATGGCTGGAATTTTCTGTATGGTGATCTGAGTGGCAATTACATGCATCTAAGTGTTTTTATTTTATTTTTTCAAAAATATATCTTTTCTGATTTCAGAGAGAGGAAAAGAGAGGAAGAGAGAGAGAAACATCAATGATGAGAGAGTCATTGACCGGCTGCCTCCTGCACGCCCCCTGCTGGGGATGGAGTCCGAAACCCCGGCATGTGCCCTGACTGGGAATCGAACCCGCGATCTCCTGGATCCTGGGTCAATGCTCAACCGCTGAGCCACGCCAGCCGAGTACATCTAAGTATTTTTAAAATTCCCCTGAGCTGTATACTTAAGACCTGTGTGCTTTACCATATGTATACCATACCTCAAAAAAAAAAATTCAAGTGCTTTATTAAACTTTTTAAAAGCTGAGAAATGAGCTTTACCTAAAGGTATGCCAGTGATATCTGCAATCCCCTTCATCTCTTCCTCATACGGGCCGGGGAAGTTGCCCAGCAGACCAGGCTGAAAACCAAACAGATGAACAGTCACTCAACCAAAAGAGCTGCTTTGAGATTTGGTTCTTTCACATATATTTGTTCTAGATTCTGCTGCCACAATAGGTGACCTTATTTTTAAAGGCCTTTTCCATCACGTGTTCCTATAAGATCGATGGAACGCTCGCTATGACTCTTGCTCTCTGTACCTTTGAGCTCAGCTGTTCTCAGGTACTGTGCAGAAGCCTGTGATTCTCCGATTGCTTGTATTTCACCCTCTATCTCATCTAGCGGGGTGGGGAACTGGAATAGTTAGTTCCACCTGGAAGATCTTCTATGACCCACGACACAGGAGCATCACAAGCAGCGCTCATATCTCTACTCAAACCCACCCGCCAGCCAATGGCATCCCACCCTCATCGCCGTTTCCTTCCCACGCATAGCAGAAACCTGCATTCTAGCCGTTCACCAACACTCCCGGCATGGTGAACATCCCACCTTGGGCCAAGACGCTTCTTGCATTCAGCTGGCAAACAACGGACACGTGAGCAAATTCAAGGGTGGACATCAATGCAACCTTCTGCATTGATGCAACTACTTTTATCCTCAATGCAACCACTCGCCACCTGCCCCCCACAACAAAACGTTATCCAGTCCCGAATGTCATTAGGTTAAAACACCTGCCCAGGGCCTTGGTGCCCACCCCCATCCTGCGCACCCTGCAGGCCAGTGAGGGCCCCAGAGCAGTCTGAAGGAGGGTGAAGAGAGTGTCTCGGGGGTCCCAGGGGCCAGGCCCTAGATTTTCCACTGGCTCTACCTAAATAAATAAAAAAAGGGGCTGAGAAATAGTCTTGCTGTAGGACCAGGAGGAAGGTGAAATGGTTTGGTGAACATGCAGCCACAAGAAATACACAACCCAAGTGAGCTGCAATGATCGCAGCTACTGAGGGCTCCGTAAAGCACAGGCTGGCTGGAAAAAGCCCTGGGTGTCCTGGGAGACTCAGGCAAGGCACCGAAGAAAAATCCCCAAATTTTCAGGAATGAACCTGTAAGCCCAAGTGTACGTACGGGGAAGGAAACACCATACTCCCAGTGAAATACGTATATTTTGCCCACTGCTCTGTAAGACTGTCAAGACTTTTAAAAAAACATTAAAGAGCAGTTAGTGGCCAAAATTCGCCAAAATTCAGGTCCTGTTGCTCTAACGGTACCAAGCCCCAGAACGTCCGGTCCCTCTGAAGTTTTGATAATTGTCTAGAATAAAAGCAAACGTGTCCAAGCTCCTTAAATTATGCCTTTAAATAAATACCAGAGCCTTTCCTGAACTGCGGGTGTGTGTTTAAAAATTGATTGTAGGAAATATTTCTTACCAACTTTTGATCCACTATCTGCATAATTTTTCCACTTGGAACAAAGGCATTTACTACGTCCCTCAAGGAATTCACGATAATCCTCAGCTGAAAAGTAAATTAATTAGTTAATTAATGAATAAGAAACATAAAGAAGCATTGACATTTAAGATTGATATTGGTATAATGAAAACAGATACATAGGCCACTTATTTGTATGTAGCTAAATAAAATAGGGTGATATTTGAAAACATTTTCAATTCATGTATAAACACAATACATCTTTAACATGGCATCTGATTAGCTCCGCGGACGAGGGCTGATGATACAGAGACGGAGACAGAGGGAGGGCGGGGAAAGGCAAGAAGGTCCTCGTCTGCTCCCATCACTTACGGTAAGCGGGAGAAAAGTGCCCCGAGCTCATTCTTAAAATACCTGGTGTGTAATTTCACCAAGTGTTCATTTACAAGGGCCTTGTATTCAGTAAAGGCAGAGACAGGAGAGTTAAGAATCGCGGCGTACCGACGGCGCCTTGTCGGCGATCAGCTCGTGCCACCTCTTGTAGGGCGGCAGGTCCAGGTTGATGGTGTACCACGGGACGGGGCCCCGGTAGCTGCAACGAGAGGGGCGCCGTCTTGGAATGTTAAAAGCAGTTTTTGATATGTGCCTCTAACATATCCATTGCTTTTTCGGAGAGAGCGGAGGGAAGGGGAGAGAGAGAGAGAGAAACACGGGTGTGAAAGAGACACATCGACTGGCTGCCTCCCGCACTCGCCCCAACCCAGGTCCGTGCCCTTGACAGAGAATCAGACTCAAGACCCTTCGGTGCAGAGGCCGACGCTCTGACCACTGAGCAAGGCCGGCCAGGGCAAGACTATATTCCTGGTAACAATGTAGAAGTTAGCGCTGGACCCAAAATTTGCAAAAGCCCACTTCCCGGGGCTTCTGTCCGACGCTGTCCATAATCGTAAGGAGCTTCAGAAATCCTGGAACAGAGCTACACGTTCCGAACAGCAGCGTGAACGCGGGATAAGTAGCCTGAGCCTCGCTGCTAGAAAATACCCGCCCCCTTTTCCCTCCTGAATCTCTGCAGAGGCTTAGTCTAAGCTTGGGAACCCCTCGGTCTCCCCGTCACACGTCCTCTTAGGCGGTCTGACACTGACGCGGTCATTGCTGGCTTCGGCAGGGTCGCCTTTTAGGACCCCAGGGGGGCCACCTGAGCTCGCCTCCCGTGACTGGCTTCCGGGGCCGTCGCTGCTCACGCAGCCCCTTGCTGTTCCTGCTGGGCTGCAGTCTCCCATCCGTCTGTGGTAAATCCGGGCCCCGGCACCGGGGTCACACCCCCCCAACTCCCTGCTCACAGCTTCACACGCAGCAGCCTTCGCACCCTTCCCTTATCGATGGGCCTGGGCCATAGTGCTTTGCGTCGCTATGGAAACGTTATCATCTGGCACTTGCTACCACACTGAAACGGCCTCGAAGGCGTACCGTTCAGTGTCTTATCAGCCTAAAACTGCCTAAAAACAGCCAGCGCCTGTCCCATTATTGCTCTGCTCCAGAGAGGCATCGGGTGTCCTCAGCGTACGCAACAGTGTTCCCGGGACGTTAAATTAACATGTGACCCAGGCTTGTCACGGCAGCAACGGCGGGTTAGTTCCTCAAAGTCACGAGCGGCGGTCCCATTTATACTTCCACTGTCATGAACACATATTTGATTCTGTCACTAATGCTGCTGAGCTCGGGGCCTGGGTATAGGCTTAAGGTTTTAGGGAACTTAACCAGCAGCCACTGATGGTGTGATGCAGATAGAAAAGGAGAGCACGCTTGATTTGGAAACATACGTTTAAACAAAATCACAATGACTGCGTTTTGTTCTGTTCAAAATCCCATTTCCTTAGTAGCTGATAGCTATAGTAAATAGCACAATACTTAACTCCTAGAAAAAAGCTTTATAATTTCATTATTTCACATGCATAATTCTGCACCACGATTCAACAAAATAATTATTTTCATCCTATTACAGGCAGGTGCTTCTCAGCTCCTCCCTCCTGGCCGGCCTGCACCCGTATCTCCGTGTCCAACAGCAGTGAGACGTCGGGGGCCCCCTCGAGCCACGCACCTCGGTGGCACTGTGATAAGACAGGTGTTCGACCTATGAACTCCAGTCAGCTGCTCCTCCCTCCACAGCACCCAGTAAAATCCAAACCATGCCCCTAACCTGCCCGAAGCTCTGGATTCTTTTTCAGCCCAGAGTCTCGGGCAGGCTCAAGAATTCCAAAGAAATGCAGAGGAAACAAATTCCTACAGCAGACGGTTCCACTGAGTGGGGACGGGAGACCCCAGAAACCTCTCTACAATAAGCCCTCCGTTAATCAGAATTCTTTGAAAAAACTGTTAATCTGATTAACAAAATCATTTTCATAATTAAAGGTTAGCCATAATCCCGTATTTTACTTCTCAGTAAACATTTTTCTAAAATATCTCAGTAACGAACATCTACACCTCGACTTCCTAGAGCAGCGAGTTTCAACCCTTTTCACCTCTGGCCCACGTAAGCTACTTACTAATATTCTGTGGCACACCAAAAGATGTGTCTTTTGTTGATTTGACAAAAAATAGGTATAATTTTGATTGATTTACAAAAATAAAAATAATAGTAATTACCTACCCTTTTTGCTCTAAATTGACCTTTAAAAAAATTAGGTGCCTATACTTGTAAATAAGGATTTCTGGTATCAAGAATTAACCAATCAGATGCAACCTTATTATGGGACGTGACTGATAAGATGAAACTCTATTACATGACCTACATATTTATGGTTCAAGACAGGGCATTCATACCGGACAGCTATTGTGTTGGCTTTTGTCATTTTTTTATTTGACCACCTGAGGGAAAAGAGGTCAGTGCCTCTGACTAGGTAGCCAGGTACTGCATGTTTTAAACATTCTTGCAGCACACTGGTTGGAAATTGCTGGGACGGCCGGGTGTGGCTCGGTGGTTGAGCACTGATCTAGGATCCAGGAGGTCAGGGTTCGATTCCCGGTCAGGGCACATGCCTGGGTTGCAGGCTCGATCCCCAGCAGGAGGCGTGCAGGAGGCAGCCGATCAATGACTCTCATCATTGATGTTTCTATCTCTCCCTCTCCCTTCCTCTCTCTGAAATCAATAAAGATATATTTTTTAAAAAAGAAGAAAGAAAAGAAAATCTCTGGCGTAGAGAAATAAATAGTATCTGCCTTATGAGGATTACATGAAATATGCAAATACTTAGCATCAGTGTTCAGTTGATGGTTAATTACCGTAAAATATTTTCCCACTTTACTACAAACAATAAACATGAAGTTATTTCTGAGATTTAGCATCTGCTATGCCCAGGCATCATAATCAATATTAAGCATTGGCAGAACCCACCTGGCGCCCCGGGTGGTTTGGAAACTAGTCCAAGTGACACACACTCATCCGTACAAATAACAGAGCAGATGCTAAGCACCAGTGAGCAGCAGAAAAGAAATGCTAATGGGGTTCAGAGGGATTCAGGGGTGCTCTGGCTGTCAGTCCCTTGACCTCCAGCACTGAAATGGCTGGTCAGGCTGGATAGACGGGTGTTTCCTTCCTCCCTCACAGCGGCCCACTCAGATCTCCAGAATCCAGGCACTTGGTTGAAAAGGATGACCTGGAAGGCGTGGGCGGGTGTGCTGTCACTCAAAGGCACTTCTCTCTGGATCTTAAGACCCACGTATAGTTCAGAGAAGAGAAGGGTCAGAGCGGAGCTGAGGGTTCCTGAGCCGGGACCTGGCTAGCGAGGTAGGGAGGAATCCAGCAGAAATACCAGGGCAAAAATATTAACATTATGTAGGTGTTTAAACATAAGCATAAATAAATTTATTTGTATATGTGTATAGGCACATGTACACACACACACACACTCACACACTCGGCAATCTGGAACCAGTTAAAAGCAAGGAAGGTTTGCCGGGCAATCAATTCATAGACACGTATAAGGCGCGCATAAATGGGAATAGGAAAAAAGGCCTCGGACGTGAAAAATACTCATTAAATGTTCAATGAGCTGGGGCAGCGAGACCAGCCAAGGGACGGGCACAACCAACAAGGCACTGAGGACTGCCAGGCTGTCAGCGACGGCAGCAAGGGGGACCCGGAGAGAGCCAACCCTGAGCCGGCTGGGCGCGCGCCGTGTCCAGAGTAACAGCCGCTGATCCCTTCTAAATTACTTCCTGCCAACACTGGCCTCTTCCGACAGAAAGGAGAGTAAATCAGAAGAATTTAGTTTAGTACAGTTTCATCGTATATCTGGACCAGAGGCTATTTAGGATACGTAATTTAGACACGTGCAATACAAAATGTATAATTAGAGACCTACAAAACTGGAAAAGCCATCTTGATACTACCGGTTAGAGCTGTACTCTGCCTTCTCCTACCCCCAGCAGGAGGCTCCCATCCGGCAGAAAGAGCGGGGCAAACAAGATCGCCCGCCTGACACCGCTCCTCTTTCCCACCCTGGTGCCCTCCGGGCCGGTGAGCTGGCCTTCGGTCTTTCTCACAGACGCAAGTAGCCACAAGCATCTGAAAACGCCGTCCATATACCTGGACTGAAAATATTTAAAATACACTAAAACATGATACTGGCCCTTCTCTTATGATTTCCGATCCTGTTTTTTCCTTGATAAATTTGATTATGGTGCCAGGGTTTATTTCTTGAATGTTTCACATATAAGACCCCACAGTTTTTTGTTCCAATGTAATCTGGTAGTTTAGACTCAGGCACCACAGAAAAGCCCAGGTCAGCTCTGCATTTGTCAGGAAGGGTAAAATGCGTAGCGGTAGATAGAAGAATTTAGTGGGAATTCTTCCCCCTGTGACTTTGATAGGCTGGAAATGAGCATTTTAATCATAAGGTATTTTCTTATTTGTCCAGGGTCTTAGTCAGCTGCATAATACACAAACCTAAGAAAAAGAAATCTTTGTCTTTCGTACGATCAAGGACATGACTTACATTTTCATTCACTGCCATTATTTTTATGGGATCATTACGTAGGGAAATGTGAGTTTTGATCATCTGATATTTACTCACGTTGGTCCAGAAGGAGGGTAGGTTGATTTTCTGCAGTCTTCCGTCCACTAAAAAACAAAGAAAATTTAAAGTTTCAGAAAATAACAAATGAAGTAGGCAACAGGCAAAACCAGTTAAAGCTCGTGAAGGCAAATTCAAGTATGCCCTTTTAGAGCATTTCAACACTTCTTAAAAGTCTTGTCCTCTGACAAAAACTTCTGAAATCTCGAACGTGAGTGCACTTTCGGCCTCAGTTTGATTTGCACTGGTGCCAGGTGTGGTGATCTGGCTTTTACATTGCAAATACAGTGAGTAAAGAGGAGTGTAAGTAGATGGATCTGTACGTCAAATAGGTTGATTTATCACTAATTACTTGATAGGAGGTGCTGTTACTTGAATTTATGAGCCAACTCTATTGCAATAGAGATCTGCGTCCCAAACCAGATTTTCAGGGCACACTGTCCAGGGCCCTTCGTAATCTGGTCATAATTTACCATCCAGCCTCTCTCCCTGCCACGCCCCATTACATGCAGCCACGTGGCTGGCGAGCATGTCCTGCTACGATCTCTCGCCCTTCCATATGCGCACATGCTGTTCCCTCTGCCCGGAATGCCTATTCTCCACTGCGTGAACTTCTGGCTGTAATTTCCAAGATCCAGTTCAAATGCTGCTTTTGTGTGTGTGTGACATCTCCATCTACTTTCCATGTGAAAAGTCACCCCCTCGTCTACACGCCCACAGCCTTTGCGCACCTCTCCATTACCATATCTTGGCATTGCATTATAATTATGACTGTGTCTCTCTTCACGGCCAAACTCTGCTCCTGGAGGTGGGGGTGGCTCTGAACACTGAGGCAAAGGACGCGTGAGACTTACAGAAGAGTGTTCAGACTACGTAGAAAAGAGAATCAGCCCTTAACATAAAAGGAACGAAAAAGTCCACATGGGTTCATGATTCCCTTATTACTAGTTCAAGATAGCAAGCACGTTTATCTTTCCTCTGGAGACCCAATATTATAAAAGTGAAATAATTTTTTTTCCCACTGCTTTTTCAGCGAGAGTGGAAGGGAGAGAGAGAGAGAAATGCCGATGAGAGACACAGCGACCGGCTGCCTCCCACATGCACCCTGACTGAGGCCGGGGACCGAGCCTGCAACCGCGGTACATGCCCTTGGCCTGAATCGAACCTGAGACCCTTCAGTCTGCAGGCCAACGCTCTAACCACGGAGCAGACTGGCTAGAGCAAAAGCAAAATAATGTTTAAAAAGAAGAGAGAGGTAGAGTAGGGATGGAAACCACGAGAACTGCAGTTTGAGCTCAGAAACTGTATCTGCAGCAAATTTGTGTGAGAATGAAACTCTTACATTTTGTTTTAACTTTTAATAATATAGGAAGTGCAGAAAGTAGCTTGACATCACTAGTGATTCTAACTTTACTACAGTATAACTTTCTCATATAAGTGCTACTTTGCTTTGTAATGTTAGGTAGATTTTTATTAAGAAACAGTATTAAGTATCAAATTGTCAAAAACTACTTCAATCATTAGAATTTAAATTCTATTTCTAAATTATTACAATATAAAAGTATTAGACATTAAATATCAATTTGATAATCCAGTATCAATTTAGCAAAAGCTAATTTCCAAAGCCATTCAATGTTTAATAATAGTGGTTGAAGGACGTGTCTCTTGTTTAGAAAACTTTCAGTCTCAGCCCTGAGCTTAAAAATCGCTGTGAAACTTCAAGGCTGCTACCTAACTGTTGTGTGGCAGGGGAGTCAGCATCTGTTTCTTACGCTGTTGGGAGCCGGTGACGTGTCTGGACATGGTCCACGCCACCTGAGGGTCTGGAGTCAGGGACCCGACCCTCCCCACAATGACCCTTGATATTGAGAGCCCGCTAGCTACGTGTCTGGACATGGTCCACGCAGCCTGAGGCTCTGGAGCCAAGGACTCAACCCTCCCCAAAAGTTCCCACTAGAAGCCGAGATAAAGATGGTTACCAAGGTCTGAGCTCATGCAGGTGGCAGAGCGTTTGCTCTGAAAGAGCGTTCAGAGGGCCTTGTGGGAATGCGGAGCGGGGTGCTACTCAGCAAAATCAACAGTGCCTGTAGATATCGAGCTGGGAAAATAAACTCGGGGCTGGCAGCAGGCACGAGGCGCAGCCCTCCCGACCCCATCTTTTTTGTGTCTGGCTTTTCTTCATCCTCACCCCTTCCTCAGGGCCGTTCGACTCTGCCGGCGGGCTCCGGCATTACGCAAATTCACAGAAATGAGGATGGTGAGGTCTACGCGGGCAAAAGAAGTTCACGGCTGACAGTACTCGTTCAGTCACACACAACAGATTCAAGCGTTTTCCATAAAGTGTTTGCCAACAGATAATACAATAGCCACAACCTTTAAACACCATTTTTACAAGTTTTATACATTTATCCAACTAAGCCTTTTTCTGCTTCACACACATTTCCACTGTCAACTGTTACACATCACAGCAGACTCCGCTTTGGGTCTTACCGAATGACTAAGTTCTCAGTTTCTTTGAAAACATCCTTGCCTGTAGTTGTTTCACAGACTATTCACAGAGACTAACCCCTTAGTCTCAAACTTGGCACTGACGCTCTAATAAGTACCAATAACTAGGAACTTCAAGAGTCAAGGAAAACAGCTGGGAAACGTGTGCCCTGTTCTTCAATTGATACTGATGATGCTGCCAACGTCCTGGGCAACTGTTCTCATCTAAAGGCTAATAGCGTGGAACAAAATTTCTCAGGACACACCTCCTACACTGCGGTAACCAGATGCAACTGAAGTCGCCACGGGTGAATGGCTTTCCTTGCTGGGCTAACCAATGAGCTACGTGGCGACGGACTTCGGTTGCAGCCTCATTTTACTATTTAAAATCTATAAGTAAATTCTGCTGTGATGACATACTCTAAAGTTTCTTATTTTTCTGATCACTTTTTTCCCCTGTGAGTTGGGAATATTGTGAAGACTGTTTTTGTAATGTCACATGCACTGGAATTTTTCATCACAACTCCAGCGTCACTGCATAGTAGCCACAAGGGCCCGTCATCTAACTCAGTAACAAGATAACCCATTCTCCACTTTGCCTCAAGAGAACAACATTCACTTCTTGTTTTGATATGATAGATTTGCTCCGGTAATTTTTTGTTAACGATTAAAATAATAAGGCATATTATACAGGTGGCACTTAAAACGCTGTTGGGTTGTAACTGCCAGACTGTCATTTGAAGTGCCCCGAGCGGCAGTGAAAAGCTAAAGCAGCCACAGGCATAGGCCAACAAACAGGTGTGGTGTGTTCCCAATCAACGCTGGGACATGGACGCTGACATGTGACTTCCGTGCAAGTTTCACATGTCACAAAGTGTTAATCTTCTTTTGATCCCCCAATTTTTAAAAAAACCTAAAACCTGCCTTTAGCTCACAGGCCTTCGAAGAGCGTCTGGCAGGCGGGGCCTGGCCCGCGGGCTGTAACTTGCCAACCACTGTTCTGGGGTACCCGCGCCCGCACAGACCGCCCTGGGTCTTGCTAGACCATCTACTCAGTTTCTTCAGAGGAAAACCCTTTAGGTGCCGCGCATGTGTAGAAAGGGAGCGAGAGGGACAGAGGTTGTGTGGTTAGTTTTTTGCCGACCAACAATGCCGCCTGCGGAGGTGG